TGGTAAGACTCCAGATGGCTTATCTGCAAAGGCAAGCTTCACTGACTGTGTCTTGGTCCATCCATGTTCCACCCAAATAAAGCACCAGGAATCGCTGTTAACAACCAGGACGTGCACCTAGAAGGGGCTACAGAGGCCACAACAACATCAATACTGCATCAGTAACTCGAGGGCTCTTTATTTTAACACAGCCAATATACTGAATCCAAAAATTCAATATACTCTTTCCTGCTTCCCCTATACCAACCTTCACTCCAAGCTTCATCACTAACACATCCTTCTTTAACCCAAGTCTCCTCAGACCCCAACAGAGAATCATTCTTAGGCAGAAACTCCCGCCTACTCCCCAACACCCCTACCCTCTCTCATGTCTAGGCAGTAGATATGACCAACCCTAACCCAGCTTCTCTCCTTCCTAGTCTTTCCACTCCGCCCAGTGAAACACCTTTTCTAATGCACGTAAACTCATCCGCCTCTTCAGCGGTTCCCTGAGGAAGCACTCCCTTCGTCTCCCTGATGGAACAAAATCACATTACTCCTACACCCTTCCCTCCTCCCTTCCCCTGCTGTGCTCACCACCTGTCACCTCTAGATCAGCACCCCACTCTCATCCCTCAGCGACCTTCCTCCCGCGGGGTTCTCTGCCACCCACCTACACCTTCTCACCATCTCCACTGTGACTCTCCTCCACACTCCGCGGCAGAGGCTCTCCCCCTCCTTCAGTGACTGCAGCGACTGGCTCAGGCTTACCTTTTGATAAGGCAAATTTATCAAGACCATTTTTAAAAGGGCATATCAAATGAGCTGTATTAAAATATATAAACATTAATCACCAAATAATGGAACCAACAATATTGATATCGTGGTGTCTCTGGTATCCATGATCAGCAGGAGGAGAGACCGAGAGGATGAAATTAAAGGTGGGATGACGGCTGGGGTGAGGTGATGCTCAGGAATGGAGTGAGAATGTGTTGGCAATTAAAAGGTATGACAGTGGATTTCAGGCTGTATGAAAATATCCTTGGATAAAAAATGGCCACATTAAAACATCATTTGCCACAAAGGAACTTTCTGGGTAGATGGAAATGTTACAAAGACTGTGATAAGGTATAGTACAGACGGGGTCTATCCATTTGTCAAAACTGACAGCTAACATTTGTGCATTTCCATGCATATAAATTACAGTTCAAAAAATCTGTAAAATAAGAATAATGATAATCCACTGGGTAGAGGTATACAGACAAAACAAGGATGACAGAACGCTGCTCACTGTTGACAGTGGTTGAGTATATAAGGGTTCATTATACTATCCTGTTCGTTCATGTTTGAAATTTTCTGCAATCAAGTTTTTAAAATGTCACATACCCAGCTCCCACACACCTCGTGTGTGTGTGTGTGTGTGTTTGCACGCACGCATGCATGCATGCACATGCTTAGTCACTCAGTCATGTCTGACTCTTTGCTACCCCATGGACTGCAGCCTGCCAGGCTCCCCTGTCCATGGAGATTCTCCAGGCAAGAATACTAAGAGTGGGTTGCTATGCCCTCCTCCGAGGGATCTTGCTAACCCAGGGATCAAACCCAGGTCTCCCGCATTGCAGATGGATTCTATACCATCTGAGTCACCAGGTAAGCCAAAGACTGGAGTAGGTAGCCTATCCCTTCTCCAGGGGATCTTCCCGATCCAGGAATTGAACCGGCACCTCCTGCATTGCAGGTGGACTCTTTACCAGCTACGCTACCAGGGAAGCCCATACACCTCATGCTCAGCCACTATATCCTTTATATCCTCTAACACTGCAATTTCAATATTTACCACAGGTCTTCCAAGAGCCCAAGAAAAGCACTAACTCACCACCATACTGGATATTCAAATGCTCCATCTTGAAAGCGCATTTTTCCAAGAGTTTGACTTTACATTTCTGACATCTTCAAATTCGAGGCTTGTCCTCTAATTTCTTTATGCAGCATTTTAAACTAGCAGCCTTTCTATTTCAACTTCTGTGCCACTGTACTCTTTGTAATGCTTTTCCTCTGGATCTTTTTTCTACTTCATCCTAGCCTCCTCTCCTTTATAAATAAGAGTGCTATCCAACAGAACTTTCTGCAGCTCTTGATATGTTCTATATCTGTGCTGTCCAATATGGTAACCATGGGTCACATGGGACTACCAAAGATTTAAAATATGGCTAGTATGACTGAGAAACAAAAACCTTCAATTTTATTTCATTTTAATCAATTTAAATTTAAATAGCCACATGTGGCCAGTGGCTACTCTACTAGACAATGCAGTTTTATAATCTCTCTCACTCATTCTCATGACTTCAGTTACCACCTAGATATCCAAGGACTAACTCATAAATTTATGCTAAAAACAAAGTCGCCTGGGTGAGTTCCACAAGCAACTCAAACCCCAACGTAAAATTAATCATCTCCACCATCAACTCCCTTCTTACTTACCCCAAATACCTGTCCCCTCCCAATATTCTTAGTTCAATAAACAGAATCCATCATCTAAGTCATTCTAGCTTTAACTCTTTTATCTTCCATATCTTAAGTAAGAATCTATTCCTTTTGAGCCTAATTAACTGATCTCTCTATCTCTAGCCCAAAGTACATAATAAGCACAAGTCCTGCCTGGTATAATGCATTCAGCTGGTTAATACTGTAGACTTTCCTTTTCAAATATGTTATGATCTCCTCACTGCCTACAAGTGAAGTTTCAATGCCCTAGGATAACAGAGCATTCAAGATTGTACACATGGGAATTCTCTGGCAGTCCAGTGGTGAAGACTCAGACAAAAAAAAGGTCTGTACACAATCTGGCCCCAAGCTACCTTTCCACACTTGCCTTCCATTTCTGCCTTTTAAACCCCTTCTCTCCAGCCAAAAATGAATCCTCATTGTTCTCCAATACATTCTATCACAATGTTTGCATTCACCCTTCCGCTGATGCTCTTCTATCCTCCTTAAATATCCGCTGACCTCTGTTCAAATCCTAACCACCCTTCAAGGTTCAGCTCAAATAAGACCTCTTCTATGTGTTTCTTAGATCTTCACCATTCTCCCCATTCTCCTGCATGCATGCTCAGTCATGTCTGATTCTTTGCAACTCCATGGACTGCAGCCTGTCAGGCTCCTCTGTCCATGGAATTTTCCAGGCAAGAATACTGGAGTCGGTTACTATTTCCTACTCAAGGGGATCTTACTGACCCAGGGATCAAACCTGCGCGTCCACCTGCATCACCATTCCCCACCAAATAGTAATTTTTATAGTAATTTTTTTCTGAGTTCTCACCCTAACTTTTTCAAAGCACTACATTTATGACAATAACCAACTTTTACTTTGTTAGAAGTAGGTTATGTTCATTTCTTATTGTGTCACAAGCTCTTTAAAGATGGATGTCATGTATTACATATCTTTCTATACACCAACAGTTTCTAGTAAAATAGCCAGCATAAAATAGGCACTTAATAAATTACATCTACTGATTATGATTTCATTTGCATTATAGACAAATTCTCATGTGTTAAGAATGTTCAGTATCTCAAAAATGGCTTAGGCACTAAATTATCCCTGTAAAATTATCGAAGATAGACAAGTATTTTGGGTATACACAATTCCCCAAATTGCCTTAAGCAGGAGCTTCTACCTACTGAAAAAGAACTCTCCTATTCTGGTCATGTACTATCAGTATAAAGAATAAAACTAGCATTGATCTAATTTATCTCCTACGGGAATACAAAGAGTTCCTATTTTAAACACAGCACTTTGTATCAACATAGGAAACTGATATTTCAGGGGCTCATGGGATATAACTGATTCAGGTTTAATATGATTCAAGTGACAGAAATAACAAATTATTCAATGATAATAACAGCTACCACTTCTTACACACTTATGTCAGATACTATTCAAAGCACTTGACATGCATTATCTCATCTAACCTTTATGATACTCTATGAGATATGGCCTGTTATTCTCATTTTACGTATTTTTTAGAAATTAGGCCTAAAAGGTAGATCACACATCTTTTTAAAAAAACTGCCCATTAGTCTAACCAAACAAATGGCGTAGAAGATACATGTACGTAAAAGCAAATATACAGAAACCCTGGTCTAGAATCCTAAGATCGAGACCTGCTTCGGTTCACGAGCTATAACCTCAGTGAGCCTCAATGTTCTCACTGGTCCTTACCCCTCAGAGTAGTTGCAACAACCAAATGAAATAATGAATATGAAAATGAGCAATGAAAGTGCACTGGACTTGCAGCCAAGGGAACCAGAATCCAATCTCTGATCTGACTTCAAAATAAAGGACTTTGTACAAATAAATCCTACAGTTTCTTTGAACTATATGCATTTTTCTGACAGGCATGGAGCCCCTATGTAAGTGCCAGACATTCTGCTAAGTGTTAGGAATCTCAAAGTGAACATGGCAGAACTCACAGTCCGGAGAGGGAGGCAGATGAATAGAACAGACAAATTATACTTAGGGCAGGTTAAGGGCTTGGTCATCAGAGTATGTAAGAGAGGCAGCCAATCTAGGTTTAAGAGTTAAGGGATAGTTCCCAAAAGGAAATAACTTCTAAGGTGACTGAAAGGATGACTCCTAGGCAAAGAAGAATTCCAGGCAAAGGGAACTAGGTTCAAAGACCCATGCACAGAGGTTAAGTGTTAACAGTAGATTCTAGAGAGGTAAAGAGGATTTTAAAAGCAAAGGTGAGAGATCTTTCTATATAATTTCTTACAAATGCATGTGAATCTACAATTCTCACAATAAAAATTTCAATTAAAAAAACACAGACATGACAGTACTCTGTAAACTGAGAAGCACCTTAACTACTTCAGTCAGTATTATTACTAAAATTCAACTGCATAATGTATATTGCTACAGAGCAAAGCTGGAAAGGCCATTATAATGGAAACAGAACTACTAAGGACAGTGAGAAACCATATTTCAACAGTTGGCCAAAATTTAGGAAATTGTGATTCAGTACCTTTCACATCTGGTCGATACTGTAGTCCATCATCTTTCTTTCCCAACAAACTAGTGTCATCTGTATCTGTAAGAGAAAATGATTTGAAAATTAAGATATATATGATGTTTAAGTCATACCATGAAACCCCTAAATATTCCAAATGCTCCAGGTCCTGTCCAACTCTCTGTCCACTTTTCCTGCTCCACCACTCTCTTGAGCTAGCTCAGGCCTCAGATATAAATGCGTTCTGCATGATGAACAGTCTAACTTCACTGAAACTTCAACTAAAATATCACCTTCCCTATGAAACCAAAATCTCATAGACCCTGAATAGAAAGGATTAGCCTGTTCTCCAAGGGACAATGGTTTCAAGATTTACCTTCTCCCACCACTGTTTCCTTGGAAATATATCAGATTAATATAAATGTGGGATATCAACTGTGTTATCAGACAAAATTTATTATGAAAATGACACCTTACTGGTAAATTCTATCAGGACAGGAGGACTACATGAACATAAACACCTGCTCAGAAGCATAAGCTTCAGTTTCCCAGTGCACAGTGGGGAAAGGTACAGTCAGGTGTAAATGGGGACCAAGATAAACAACTCCACAGGATTCTAAAAGCATGAATTTCAATTAACAAAAGCCTCAAGCTTGACCAACTCTCCTGAATTTGAAATTCCAGGTAGTACCATTCAACCATATACCAGTTCCTCAGAAAAGATATTCTTTCTCAGGAATACTCTTTAACCTACACTAGAAATGCCACCCCAAGAAAGAAAAGCAAACCACGCTACTTCTTCCACCTATAAGGGGTCTCTGTCAGTAAACAGTTTCCTCTGCCATGCACACACCTGATCCTCACTTAGATATCCTCTGAATAGTTTCTTGGGCATTCTTCAGTAGCTTAGGCCACAGACATTGCAATCAGTAGTTCAGTATTTCACAAATAGCTTATTATCAGTTTAAGGCAGCAAACTCTGGCTTGTAACTTCTCCCCCTTAGCTATGTTTTCCCTAAGCTCATGAAAACATAGCCCTTTAATAAACGCAAAAAAGGGGAGGGGAAGTGGTCAGAACAGAGGGCAGTTAGACCCAGTAGCAGCAAAGATGCATAATCCTAGGCCATCAGGAAGCGTCTGGCCCTTGTTTGCTGCTGGGAAATCACACATTATGCTAGCCTATATGTGTCTTACTAGGACAAAAGATTGAAAACCTCTGCCTCTAGTGACCAGGTATTTCTAGTAGGAACAGAAGACAAAAACTCATTCTTAGTTGATATCCTGGCTCCTAAACTACGGCAAAAAGCAAGAAGGGGAAAAGAATTTCAAACCGAAAATAATACTTTTTCCTTATATTCTATAACTTCACGCCAAAATCTCTAACAGTATAAAATATGTAGGGGCAAAAACTACAGAGAAAACATGAAAACAAAATAAACTATTATGCTCTAGAAAAAAAGATGAAAACATGGTAATATCTATAGTTTTACTATAACTAAAATAAACTCGTTTCTAAACAACTATAATCATTTCAAGTTTGAGACAATTTTTAAGAACTATAAATATAGCTAAAAGTTCATCTTAGGATCAGCTTAGTAACTAAATAAACAATGAAGAAGCATTGTTTTGTGTCTTGAGACAGTGAAAACAAATTTTTAAAAAGCTAAGTTAGTAACAGAACAAAGAAGTTCTAAAATATATAGTAATAAAAAATAAAGCATCAGAGATTTTTCATTTTACAAATTCAGAACACTACCAAAATATACAAGTAAGATTGCAGACATGTGATATTAAAGACAGGTCTCTAGAATGAATTATACCTGTGCAATGACCAAGATGCCTTATATCAATTTGTTCTTGTTTTATACAAGATGCTTCTCGAACAAAACAGGGATTGTTATAGGAACTCCCATCAGAAGCACACACAGGATTAAAACTGTATCCACTACAATCTATATTACATACACACCTGTTGGAAAAAACAAAAATTATTTATATTTTACAACAAAAGTATTTCACAATGCTGCAACAGCAAAACTGAGCAATTTTTTTTAGCTTTTTAACATTTTTATTGAGGTATAGTTGATTTACAAGATTATATTAGTTTCAGGTGTACAATGCAGTGATTCAATACTTTCATTACACTTCATTTCAAGCTATTATATAATATTGGCTGTATTCTCTGTGCTGTACAACATATCCTTGCAGCTTATTTATCTTATATAGTAGTTTGTAAGCAGTTCTCTTTTTTTTGCTTTCTGTAACAGAAGTCAATACATTGTTTTAAGTCACTGATAAAAGTTTAATAAGCAAAGTAAATGCTCAGGCAACAATTTCTTTCAGGTGAGAATCAAGAGATCAGTTCACTCAGTCGTGTCTGACTCTTTGCGACCCACAAACCGCAGCACGCCAGGCCTCCCTGTCCATCACCAACTCCCGGAGTCCACCTAAACCCATGTCCATTGAGTCGGTGATGCCATCCAACCATCTCATCCTCTGTCATCCCCTTCTCCACCTGCCCTCAATCCAGAGATAATTTCATCCATTATTACTAATGCAGTCACTTCTTTAGAATTTTCATATCTAGAGATAATAATCAAAAAATGTCAAATGTCAACAATATTAGTTAAAAAGCAACATGATAGAGCAGAAAGGACAGAGAACTATGAGTCAAAAGTCATGAATCTAAATCTTAGACCAACGAATAACCAGATCTGTGTCCATATCCTCCCACTACGTTTCAGTTTACTGATCCATAAAACAGAAGTAGTAATAATATACCTAACCATATGACCCAGCAATCCCACTTCTGGGCATACACACTGAGGAAACCAGATCTGAAAGAGACACATGCACCCCAATGTTCATCGCAGCACTGTTTATAATAGCCAGGACATGGAAGCAACCTAGATGCCCATCAGCAGACGAATGGATAAGGAAGCTGTGGTGCATATACACCATGGAATATTACTCAGCCATTAAAAAGAATTCATTTGAATCAGTTCTAATGAGATGGATGAAACTGGAGCCCATTATACAGAGTGAAGTAGGACAGAAAGATAAAGAACATTACAGCATACTAACACATATATATGGAATTTAGAAAGATGGTAACGATAACCCTATATGCAAAACAGAAAAAGAGACACAGATGTACAGAACAGACTTTTGGACTCTGTGGGAGAAGGCGAGGGTGGGATGTTTCAAGAGAACAGCATCGAAACACGAATATTATCAAGGATGAAACAGATAACCAGCCCAGGTTGGATGGATGAGACAAGTGCTCGGGACTGGTGCACTGGGAAGATCCAGAAGGATCGGGTGGAGAGGGAGGTGGGAGGGGGGATCGGGATGGGGAATACATGTAAATCCATGGCTGATTCATGTCAATGTATGGCAAAAACCACTACACTACTGTAAAGTAATTAGCCTCCAACTAATAAAAATAAATTTAAAATATATATATATATATATATACCTAACCTTACCAAATAATGGGGAAGATTAAAAAAATAGATACAAAACATGTAAAATAGAAGTCCTTCAAAAGTGTTTCTGAGTTACACATCCACCTGTATAACTGAGTGTCCACTGAACACTCACTGCCTTCTAGAGAAGGCCAAGAAAGTACAAGGCATGGTCACTCCTCTCAAGGACAGTAAAATCTAACTGGGAATATAAAACTGAAAACCATAGAGGGACTCTGTTTTCCACCAATATGGTAGACTCGGAACCTGTGCTAATCCTTCTAATGAAAATGACGAATATTTTAAAGCATTCTCAAATGCGCCTGTAAGATGTCAAGAAACAAGGAATATTCAAGACAAAAGTTAAATGAAGATAAGAATAGAAAAAGATCAATTAAGTTTGCCACAGCTGATTTTCACCTTGAAGGTATTTGCCAAACTAGGTAAATTCAATTATTAACTTTTTGACTTTGCAGGCCTCTGAGAACAGAAGACAAAGAATACTGACCTACCTAAGGTGGAGAGTCTGAAGACCCTGGAAAAAAGGCATGAGGGCAGAGGAGAAATGAGTTGCCACATTCCAAGGGGACTGTTTAAAGCGGGAAAAAAATCTTCCCCTGAGCCACAGTACTGAAGAGAGGGTAAAAAAAACATCTCCCTGAGAACTACAAGCCAGTCCTCACATGAGTAATTACAACTTAAAATATTACTTGGATGTTCTGAAAAAAATCAAGCCCAGAATTTATTTTAAGAGTCAATGACTGGAAAGGGCCCTAAGCAACTAACAAAAGTAAAAGCAATCCTCTCTGGAGAAACCCAACTTTATTATCTTAGACCTCAAACATTTTCCAAGATACCGTTCTGAGAAAAACAAACAGATCACACACATGTTCACTCACTCCCACACCCACAACAGACAAGAAAATAAAACACCATGGGCAGAGCAAGCTGATGTGGAAATGAACCAAAAAAAGCTTCTAATAAATAAAGAATGTATTATTAGAAATAAAAAACTCACTGGGCAGATTTAAAAGGAGATTAGATAAACTAAAGGTGAATCCATGAACTGGAAGACAGGTCAGGAGAAAATGCCCAGACCACAGCAGAGTTGAAAAGACAGAACATATTAAAAAAAAAAAAAAGATTAAGAGACATGGAAGACAGTCACAAGATCTAATAAAAATCTGATTAGTTTCAGATGAGTTAAAAGAATACGGCAGGGATAATATTCTCAGTTTCTCACACTTTCTAAAACTAAAGAAATATACTAATCTAAATATCCAAGAAGCCTAATAAATTCTAAACAGGATTATTAAAATATAATCTAGATAGTGAAATATCACTGTGGAATTTCTGTAACAAAGCAACAAAATAATATTTTAAAAAGCAGCCAAAAAGAAAAGATTACCTTCAAAGAATCAAGAAGAGAGACAGGTGTCTTCAAAAGCAGTACTGAAGGCAAAGTGTTTATTTATAGCCAAAAGACAGTGAAATAATACCTGCAATGTGCTGAGATAAAATAGAGTTTATATAAAAAGAACTATCTTTCATGATTAAATGTAAAATAAAAGTAATCTGGAAGAAATAAAAATTTAGAGAGTTTGTCACCTGTTGACTGTCAGTAAAGCAATTATAAAGGCAGTAGAAAAATGATCCTACAAGAAAGACCTGATATGAAAACAGAAATGAAGAACAAAAGTATAAATACAAAAGCAATATTAACAAAATACTGACAATATAAAAACAATGACATCAAAGCTCTGTGCTGCTAATTTTTAAAAAAACAGTAAATTAAAATATTAATGATAGCATACAAATTGGAAGGGACTGAGATTAGTGTTTTAAGAAGAACAGAAATACTGATGAACTTCAGACTGTGATAAATTGAATATACATGTTAAACTTACATGCAAAATATATATAAAAATTAACTTGAAAAAAGACATAGGACTTGGAAGCATATAAGAATATATGTAAAAAAAGTGTTCAAACTGTTCAATAATCAAGAAAATGTAAATGAAAACCACGACACACCATCACATTCACTAAACAGCAAAAATTAAGAGACCAATACAAAATGTTGACAAGGATGAGAAGCAAAGGGAATTCTTACCTTCTGCTGGAGGGAGAAGTTACTGGTACAACCACTTTGGAAAACAAGCATTACCAGGAAAGCTAGACTTGCACGTGTCCAATAATCCCACTACTGAGTGAGGCTCTTGAAAGTCTCTTACACATGTGCACCAGACGACATGCATAAGAATGGTCACAGAGCATTACTCATGAGGACAGAAGACTGGAAACAATCCAAATGTCCATTAACATTAAAATGGACGATAAAGGGATGTGGAACAGTCAAGCAACTGAATTCAATGAAGCAGCTATGAGCATCAACACAAACAAACCTCAGAAACATAATTCTGAGCAAAAGAAGGTACACATAGTATGATTCCACTTATGCAAAATTCAAAATCAAACAAAAGCCAAATAATACTGGGTTGACCAAAAAGTTCATTCGCGTTTTTCTGTAACATCTTACAGAAACTTTTTGGCCAATCCAATTTATTGTTAGGAGGGTTATCATGTGATAGAACTATAAAGGGGAAAAAAGGAATCATTTTCACAAAATGCAACTGAGCAGGCAGAACAAAGAAACATGCAATGGGGAAGGATCATGGGAAGCAGTTCTAAAGTACTGACAGTACCCTGGATCTCCTGGCTTGGAATGTAGGAATCACAATTTATTTCATTTTTTTATGTTAAACTAAATGTATATGTTTTCATAAGCTTTTCAATATATGCTCTGTTTCATAATTTAAAAGTTAAAAAAAAAACTTTGAATATTTACTAACAAGTCAAAAATGGCTCTTACAATTTTTAAAGGGATGGGGTACAAAGAATATGTGACAGAGACAGTATGTGGCCCTCAAAATATAAAATATTTACCATCTAGTCCTTTACAGAAAAACACTGCCAACTCCAGGTTTAAGGGATAAAAGTAGGCAAAATTGGGATGGCAATTAAACAGAAATAGTGGCCAAGAAAACAAAGAATAATAGAGAAAAGGCTCAGCCACAAAGGCAGGATACCATACCAATCGAGTGAGGAGAAAGGGCCTCAGCCGAGCCCAGTCACTAAGCTGTGTCTGACCCTTCGCAGCCCCGTTCAGGATCCTCTGTCCACGGGATTTCCCAGGCAAGAACACTTGAGTGGGCTGCCATTTCCTTCTCCAGGGGATCTTCCCAACCCAGGGCTCACACTCACAGCTCTGCGCTGCAAGCGGGTTCTTCACCACACAGCCACCCGGGAGCCCATCAGGAACTGGCCTGCTCACATGCGGGCAAGGTCCACTCCACAGTGGATGCTAACACTGCATCTAAGACCAAGAGCTGTGAGTACAACCACCGCTACTGTTTTCAACAGCACGTGAAAATGAAATGCCCATCTTAAGGAATGTCCGCTCAGTGAAACACTGAGCAGGGGAGAACAGCATTAGCCCCTA